GTTAGGAATGTGGTGCTCTTGTGGGGAAGCAAGCTCCAAGAGTAGCTTTTTCATCTCTTAGTGATCTCACGTTTATCGTTTGAATGCCACAGATTCCCTTTTAAACTTATTTTGCTTTAAAAAAAAGAAAAAAGAAAGAAAAGAAAATTTAACTTAAAATATTTTAGCATTAGTTGCACAAAATGTTTGGATAAAATTCTAGTTTTTATAAGTCTTTTTATATATTTAGCCTGTCACAACAGTGCTCAAGATCATATTGATGTTTTTCTGCATTATACAGCCCTAAAACACAGAGATCTCACTAACCTGCCACCTATAACCACTTTCTTTCCTCCTTTTGCCTAATACAGCTCAGCTAAGTCCTTCATAAAGATGATAAATCACCTTCGTCTACATTTCTTCATGAATCAAGGACTATTAAGTATATTAAAGCTGTGGAGTTTAGTACTCCAAATGAACTCTTTAAAAACTAATCTTGACATCCTATCACTATGTGATATTTTGTACATCTTACTGTATTTACAAGTTTATTTATCAAGGATTATCCATCTTGCTAATAGCCTATTATTTATTTCACTTTTTGTTGGTCTTTATATCCTTTTATTAATGTGCTAAGGGAACCTGTGTATCTATTTTGGAATTCTTTGAACAGTCTAAAATAGACTAAAAATGGAATATTTTATAGTTAAGTTACAAACCAAGGTGTTTTTCCCCAAGATACTATCTTGATTTACCATGATTCCAAAACAAAATGATCTAGTTTTTAAAAAAATTGAATATTGCCATTACATATAAGATATTTTAAAAAGTTGAATCAGGATACAGAAGTCTGCTGGGATTGGACTAGTTTCCCCTGTTTTATTTCTTTAGATGTGCTTAATTTTATTGTGTATCTAAAGATTTTCTTTGTGTAATGCATGATTAAGACAATAAAGTATTTTTTTTCTAGTCTTCCAAAAACCTTTTCTGATCAGTTTGCGAGTTTTGATGAGTTTTGTAAGGTTTTTGTTTTACAGACTATGAATCAGCAAATTTTTAAGATTGTACCACAAAGCAAACATACAGCTGTTGAAAAATAATGTATATAAAATGCATATAATAAATATTAAATTGTGTACCTGTATGTTGCTGTTGCCCACATCATTTCGTGTTGAATAATAAAGTGCAATACTCTCTCCAATTAAAGTAGGAGATGGAGGTGGTTTCTTAGTCCTTCATTTTTATGCTTTTCTTTTTATATTCCTAGTAGTTACTGATATTCTAGTAAGGCTACAATACTTTTCAAAGTAGTTTGTACCACCTGGGGTAGCTTTTATCCTATTAAAATAAGTTAAAGCATACAGTGTCATCCTCATCCCCTGAGTTTCAGATATGTAATTTAAATAATCCGCTTAGGCATCCTATTATCTTAAAAATACGAGTTTTACTCGTTGTCTTGTTTAGCTATACCTGTTTCCACAAAAATGTTAGCAAATAATAAACTGCATTATTTGCTCATTAGAAAGTTGTCCTTATAAAGTTAAAAGTTACCTATTCAAGACAGTTTCAAGACATTAATACTTCCTTTCTTAAAAGAATTTGCAAATGGAATTGAATTAGGCACTATAGAACATTTATGCAAAATTCTACTTGGATTCCTGGTTTTAAAAATTAAGTTATATATTGGGAAATTTCAAGTAACTCAGTTGCTACTGATAAAACACTAAGACTTCAGAATTTAAAAAAGTAATTGTTGCCTTTAGGGTCTGGAGTGATGGTTCAGTGAGTGAGTGGTTGCCATGCATGTGTAAGGACTTGAGTTTGAATCTCTGGCACCCATGTAGACTGTGCATGCAAATAACCCCAATGTTGAGGGGGCAGAGACAGAGAGAGGGTCCTGAGAGTTCCCTGGCAAGCCAGCCTAGCTCTGTGGAGGAGCTGTTACAGTGCGAGGACTCACACACCCCAGCTCAAGTCTTTAAGATGGAGAGCCTGGAGAAAGAAGCCTGCTCTGGCCTATGCTTGCATGCATGAGCACATGCGTGCACTCTCAATGCATGTACTACATATACCCAAGGACACCATGTGGTTTCTCTTTCCTGAGCTGGAAAATGAACAGAACAATGGGATATTCGTCCTCCAAATTTCCCCAAAGCTAATTTTATTTATGGTAGCCTTTTGAAGTTCACTGCACAGCTATTTAGTTGTGATGTGTTTGTTATTGCAGGGCACAAACTTTTGTGTCCTACAGTATGCTAAAACTATGATGGCGTTTTAAAATAAGATGTTTATTTTTCATATTTCTTAATGATAGTAAACATAAAAGAGACTAAAAGGTTGAAAAAAGAATGTCTTATTTTGTTTTATGTGTGTTTCCATTTGTGACTTGCGGAAAGTAATTTGATATTACATGTAAATTTTAATTTTAGTATTTTTCCCCCTCTTGATGTTTAATCATTGCGTCTTTCATGATTGTATTTACTTTCCCCATTGCAAGTTTTACCAACTGAAAACCAACATCTCAACTCATTACTTTCCCCATTGCAAGCTTTTACCAACTGAAAACCAACATCTCAACACATTAAAACTGGCCGGGCGTTGGTAGTGCACGCCTTTAATCCCAGCACTCGGGAGGCAGAGGCAGGGGGAGACAAGCCTGGTCTACAAGAGCTAGTTCCAGGACAGCCTCCAAAGCCACAGAGAAACCCTGTCTCGAAAAACAAAAACAAAAAAAAAGTTATAAACTGATGAGCCATGCATAGGTGTGGTGGCTCCAATGATTTAATTCCAGGAAGATCCTCAGTTCAAGGTTGGCCTGGGATATGTGAGGCTGTGTCTCAAAAAAGTGTGGCAAAATATTACAAAGTGAGCTAGCATGTTTGGAATTCAGATGTGCCTGTGAAACTGGATTATAATAGGTCTTTTTAAAACTTCATTTTTTAGAGCTGTGTATAAGGCCAGCATTGAAGAGGAGGAAGTAGAAGGATGTTTTACAAGGCCAGCTTGTCTCGGAAGCAATTCATTATTGTGTATCCTTAGTTATTAATCCTTTCTTTGATTGTAATTTCTTTTGTTCTTTTGACAGTCTTAGTATTAGCATCTCTGGTTATCTCAGCTGCTTCAAAGTTTTGTCCTTTGTAGAATTGAAAGACTTTTGTAAATTCGATAATGAATGGAAGCTGGGGTTTCCTTTACTCAGGAGAGAACTTATGAAGTCAGGTTAAATTGAGCCTTTTTTTTTTTTTTTTTTTTTTTGGTAAGATTCTTCTTACCTTACTTTCTCTGACCAGGTTCTGTCCTCTCTTTGAAAGTAAGGAGTCGAGACCATGATGGGGAAACCCACAGAATCAGCTGACCCGAGCTAGTGAGAGATCACTGACCCAGGTCTGACAAACGGGGAATCTGCATTAGACCAAACAAGACTCTCTTAATATAGGTAACAGTGGTGTGACTGGGACAATAATATATGAGCCCACTGACAGTTGGTCCAAGACCTAACTCTAATGTACAAATTGACTTAGTGGAGCCCATTCTGTATGAAGAGATACCATGCCCAGCCTAGACACAGGGGTGTGGGGGTAGAGAGGTACCTTGGTCCTGCCTCAACTAGATGATGGTACAGACTTAGTAGACTTCCTATGGGAGGCCTTACCCTCTCCTTGAGGTGGAGGGAGTGGGAGGGAAGGAGGGAGAGGGAACTAGGATTGGAATGTAAAAAATTAAAAAGGGAAAAAATTTTTAAAAAAAGATTCTCCTTGTTCACAATAAATCATTTGCAACCTTTTATAAAAAGGAAGGGGAGGAGGAATGTTCTTTTTACCAAGTCTTGATGTAGTTGTTGAGGTTATTCAAATTTTGTTTCTTCTCGTATATAATCCATTTTCTCTGCATGATCTAGGGAAGTTGGGTATACTCCAGTAAGTCATGAGCCTACAACCAGTGCTTTTCCCAAGTCATTTAGTAGTAAACAGGTCCACAGGTGGGTAAAGGAGAGGACAGAACCTGGTTAGAGAAAGTAAGATGGGATGGTAGATTCCTGTGAGGAGAGTCTCTGTGGGTTCTAGTCCACACCAGGGGTTTTGATACTCTCCTTGATAGCAACTTCACAAATGTGTTTGAGTTTTTAAAATGATACTAGTTACATTTCTCTTGAAGCAGGTACTCAAAAACATGCCCTAGTGGCTAACCTGGTAGTGAATGGTGCTGTCTGCAATAGGCCTTTAGCATATAATTGAATGAAATATTGAATGACTTAATTCAGATTATTCATTCCATGTAAATTAGCAAGACTAGAATTTGTGTCATAGTAAGAAGAAAAATGGTGCTAATAAATAGGCACTTAGTAAGTCACTACCAGTTTTATTGTTGACATATCCAAGCTATTATGCCATGTATTTTTCCTGTTACAATAACTTGAAACATCTTTATTTAAAAACTTTACCCGCTTAAACGTTTTCTCAGTCCTTGAAGTACATGCCTGTCTCTACACATAAAATTAAGGATATAAATAGAAAAATACCAGGCAATCCTATCTTTACTCAATATGGTATTTTCAGCAATTAGTTATGACAACATACTACAAAAGAAGCTTGATACATGGTTCCATATAACTTGTAGTTCCATCTAGTACATGAAATAACAGCTGTCTGTTGTTGGCTGGTTTTAAGAAAACATCCCCATGGGTCAATATGATCTATATTTCAAAGCTGCTATGCTTTCCTTGCACAGTCATCCAGAGTGGTTAAAGAAGGGCAGTGCTTGTGTCTAGGTGTCAGGTTCTTTATTGAGCTGTGGAACTTACATAGCCACTCTGAGTTTGCATGTTTGAACTCTGTGATTTTAATCCATGACATTTCTCTTTCCTGAGTTTCTAAGGACCCTGGTTATCAAGTCTCAGCCAATCTAATTTAGGGGCTTCATATGATTGCTCAGCTGATCCTGGTAAGCTATAAAGTTACTTAGGTATTGAGAATAAATTTGCATATTATTGTACTTGTTCTTGTACTTGTACTTGTTCCCTCAGTTATCAGAATATCACAGTTATTGCTGGGATTCTAAGAAATCTCTACAAATGCCTCTAATGATATCAGAGACAATTGGCTCTAATCCTGTGAACTCTCTGGTAAAGAAAGCGTGTGACTCCTTGGGTTTAGAGGCCATGTCTTTCAGGTCGTCCAGAGGTGCCCAGGCCACACCAACGGAGAAGATGGTGATACCTACAATGGAAATATTTTTAAGTGAGATAAGAATAGGTCTAGTTTACATATAAAGTTATATATTCCACACATTAATACATAGCTGCAGACAAAACTTTTAACAATTTAAGTGGAATCTATGCCAAATTTTCTAGGTAGACTAGTCTTCGATTTTGCACCTATGGCAAAAATAATTGGTCAGAACCAAAACTTTACACTTAATATATATTAATAACTTGAAAATACCAAAAGGGTCAATTCATTAAAAATGCATTGAGCAAGTAGGAACAGAACAACACCCTCCAGCTGATATATCTGTGAAGATCCTACAGCCAGCATATGTGATTGGCAGTTGAGTAAAGATTTCCTGCTACTGTCACATTCAGACATTTTGGGGTCCCAATAAGCAGGTTAAATTGAGACTGGTGCAAAAAGATACATAAATGGGGAAGTTTGCATTGTCTGAGGAATGGAGCTAGTGATAATTCCGTTGCCTCTACTTCAGTCTTTGGAGTTATATTGACAAATCCAGTAACCAAAAATTCTAAGTCTGCGAGCTAGAGAGATGTCTCAGCACTTAAGAACATTTGTTACTCTTGCATAGAACTTGTGCTCAGTTTCTAGCACCCACATAGTTCACAACCATCTATCTCCCAGTTTCAGGGTATCTGATACCCTCTTCTGATCTTCATGGGTACCAGGTATACTTGTGGTGCACATAACACAGGATAAACACTCATAAATCTTAAATTTCTAGTCTTTAACACTAAAGCAAAAAATCTGGTGGTTAAAAAAAACTTCAAAACGGATTTCAATGATATTTGGAAGAATTTCAGTTCAATCACTGAGACTCTAAAAATCCTCTCCACAAAAATGCCTGCACCTATATTGACTAAAAATTCGTAGGACCCCTTCCTTATCCCTAACACAAAGGACAGCCGTCTTACCCGCATCATGGGCAGCTGCAGCAGGGCCTCGGACATCATCATAGGACTGCCCATCTGTGACAATTACCAGGAAGTTTTTGTTGGGGCTGTCCCTTATGGGACCAAATACATTTCTAACAGTAAAGGAAATGGCATCACCAGTAGCTGTCCCACCACTCATGTAGCGTATGTTCCCTAGGACAGCTAGGACATTCTCTTTGGTGTTATAGTCAGTGAAACTGAATTCTGTGCGCTGATCGTAGGTGAACTGAACGGCAGCTATCTTGGCGCCAATGTCTGAGATTTCAAATGTCTTGGCTATGTTAGAAACAAATTCCAGCATGAGACGGAAATTGCTATCTCCAACACTGCTGGAGCCATCAATTAGGAAGGCGATATTCACTGAGTTGTAACAGGTCTTGCTGCACATCATCTGCTCATGAGTGCAGAGCTTCTGTACCAGAGGCTTTACATATTTTGTGGTGCCAAACCAGTTGGGCATGTGATAGGAGAAGAAGCCATTATTTCGACACACAGCCTAATGGGGGAAGACAAAAGATACCCCCCCAAAAAAAAATCAAAGTTTAATATTTTGCAAACTGGCACTGAAGATTGAACCTAGAACCTTACGCATGTACCCTCAGCACAATTGTTGCTTTTCTTTTGAGATAGGGGTCTTACTTAATTGCACAGGCTGGCCCTGGACTTATAATCCTGTTACCTGAGCCTCATTGAATAGCTGGGATTACAGGTCTGCTCATTCAGGCCCACCTCAAACAACCAAATAGATGTTTGTTAATCTAGCTTTGGGCTTATCAGTACTTTATCAGTACTAAGATGTACCAAACTGAGTCACTCCCACCCATTAACAGGAACTAGCCCTCATACCTTACCTTGTCAACAAATGCAACATCCTGAACCATCCCCAGTTCTTCAGGGATGGGCTTGGCCACAGAAACTATAAATACATTGACACCAAACTCTCTGGCCACAATGCCTGCCTCCTCAATGTCATCAGAAGGCCAGCCATCAATAAACACCACCACCACTTTTGGTATTCCTTTTCTCACACCTGTGTCTGCTGTAAAAAATTTCTGAGCAGTGTGCTTCAAGGCTTTTCCTAAAAACAGGAGCAAATGAGCAGCATTTGTTATGGCTCAAATGACATTTCTATTTCTGGGTAACAACTTAATGCCATTAAATTTAATAATATAACTTAAGGAATTCCGTAAAAAAATCTATGAAATGGGAAAGTTTAATTATTCCCCTGGCCTAATTTTGGTCCTTACAGCCTACACTGCTTCTCCCCGACTCCCAGCTCCCAGAAGTCCCCTCATTTAATGTTAAAACACAAACATACCCCCTCCTGTTGTGCCCTTTCCTCTACTGGCCTGTGAGGTCAGCTAAGGAACAAGGAGCCATCCAAAGTCTGCCCCATCTTCCTTCATAGTTACATCTATTCATCTCTGCTTATAAACAGGTACTTTCCTAAAGTTCAGAATGTTGTAGGGTTTTTTTTGTTTTGTTTTCTGTTTTAAGAATTATCAGCACTGGCAGTTGTGGTGCACACCTTTAATCCCAGCACCCTGGAGGCAGATGCAGGTGGATCTCAGAGTTTAAGAGTGAGTTCCAGGACAGCCAAGGCTATGCAGAGAAACCATGTCTTGAAAAAACAATAATTACTGGTATGTTTTCTACTGTAGACACTTGTTAGGTGATGAGATGCAAATCTAACCAACACAGAAGTGCTAGCAGGAAGTGGGGCTCCTAAATGGCACAATACTGCTTTTGGTTCTGATCTCAGAGTCAGTGTGCTTGCTTACCTGTGTTGGAGTTCCCCCCTCGGAAACCTACTTCTTTTATGGCAAACAAGACATCTTTGGCTGAAGTAAAGTTTTTCAAGTAAAATTCTATTTTAGGATGTTCACTATAAAAATAATAAAAGAACAGTTTTAGGAAAAACAAAATAAGCAGTGTGATAAAAAGAGCAGACTTTATCCCCGTACACCTGCGGGTTCATGTCAGCATTCCTGGTGGCATTCTGAATCACACAATCCGATTTCATGGTTTGGTTATTTTTTCAGTTTGTAGCCACTTTCACCTCTCCAGATTCTGACTTACTTGAGCCATCTTATTTTTACATTGTTAACGATGCAAAGGTCATTCTGTTCTATTTAAATATGAGCCCTTTATTTTAGTGCTTCCTAAAGCAGAAAAACTGAGTATATATGTTAGTGCAGCTATCATTTTGAAAAAAGCATAGGGATAAATTAGTCAAAACAAACTAATGTAAGAAGAAAAAGTCATATAGGAGAACTGCCTCAGGGAATGATGAAATATACAGTAAAGCTATAATAATCAAAACACTTAGAAAATGTATCAGGACCTAAGACAGACAAGGTGGTGCATATCTTTAATCCCAGCACTCAGGAAGCAGAGGCAGGTGGATCTCTGAACATTATTGCAGTGCCAAAACCCAATGTCATTCTTACAGGGATGAAGTAGAATCTGGCATGTGTCAGAACACAGTCCATGAATGATGCTGTGTGAGGAGACTTCTGAGAGCTCATGAGAAAACTCCAAAGAAACAAGACCTTAAGAGTCTTGTAACCTCTGTTCCTCCACAACACGGGTTGTTCTTAGAATGTGTTCCTGTGCCCTCCCAACTGTAGGAATAGGAGTGGGTTTACTTTAGACCACCCATCATCTTACCCCTTGTTATTTGGAATGATGTTTGCAAGCAGGAGTTGTCCTGTGACTGTATACAGCCTAAACTCATGTGACCTTAGCCATTATGACTGTATACGGCTTGCTCATATGACCTTACTTAACCTTACTCAGTGCCCTCAGAATATAAATTGTTTGATGCCCTGAATAAAGTTGGCTATTGCATGAGGCTTTAGTCCGCCTCACTTTTAGGCTTCATTCTCCTAGGCTCATGCCACCAACTAGAGTGGTGACAGTCATGATTTGGATCTCCAATGAAGGAACTTGGAAAGGGCTTTAAAAAAAAAAGAAAAAGGTATATTGGCAGAGTAAAGAATGGGACCAGAGCTGGGTGGTGGCGGCGCATGCCTTTGATTCCAGCACTTGGAAGGCAGAGGCAGGTAGATCTCTGTGAGTTCGAGGCCAGCCTAGTCTACAGATCGAGTGCCAGGGTACACTCCAAAGCTACACAGAGAAACCCTGTCTCAAAAAACAAAAACAAACAAACAAAAAAGGGAACAGAGAGTTCACTGCTGTTTCCTCCAGAAAAGAAAACTCAAGAGCTGAGAGCAGCAGTTTGTGTAAGGCTTCCAGGCCATTAAACCCCTTTTCTGATAGTACACTCTTCCCTAATAAGTCCTTTCATGCCAGTGGAGCACTCAGACTTACACAGACAGTCTTTGGTTATTTGCAGTGTGGAGATTTGTGACCATTGCATGTACATACAAGTGCTTCAAGAGATTCCCCCCCCCCCCCAGAGACGAGGTCTCATTCTATGCAGCCCTAGCTGGCCTATTTGCTATGTAGACCAGGCTAGTATTGAATTCACAGTGATGGGTACAAAGCTGATGTAAGGTTATTGCTTGCCTTGGTTTCCTGAGTACTGTGATTAATGGCATGCACCACCATGCCTGGTCTTTCATAGACTTTCTTAAATCCTGAATTTATAGTTTGGGATTCCAGTTTTTCCAAACTTCAGTTATGTTTAACTGGTAAGACGTCACCATTCAAGACACCCATAATCTCCCACTTTATTGAAGTTGGTACCTGGCTTGCACGAGGCCTACGTGTGGTCCTTCTGTTCCAATTCCCAGCATTAGTGCCACTTTCCCAACAAAATTCTTCTGTAAATTAAATCGTCGCTGCCCTATATTAAAGCTTCCATCGATCAGAAAGGCAATGTCTGCCTTACAGTCTGCAGAGAGCCGAAGGAGGGCTTCGTTAGTCTCAAGAGCAGCTGGAGGAAATGGCATTTACCCCAGCACTTAGTTTACCTTTATTGCCAGTCTTCTTCTCTGGTGTTTTCTTTAGTCGTTTACCTGAAACAAAGGAAGCTCTTGACAACAAGACGTTTACACAGCAGGAACTTCCACCAGAGTGAGCCTGTGGCAAGGAGTGCCATTCTTAGAAAGACCTTTGAAATTCATTTCATGTTCTTCTGGACTGGGAAAGCAATGCTCCAACAAAGAAACACAACAGAACTGTGGCAGGCCTATGTATTTGGTATGTATATATCCAAGGCTTTGATATCTAAAACCCACAGCTGAAGCAATAGTGGGAATACAGAGCCACATGTTCTTAATTTCTTTGACTTTAAAATGGTAGGGGCCAGAGGCGTGGAGCAGCGGGTGATGGTGCTAACTGCTCTTGCAGAAGAGCCAGTTTTGCTTCCCAATGCCCACATCAGGCAGCTCAAGTCACAATGCCTGTGGGTTCCAGAATAGCCCACCACCCTCTCTTCTGGTTCTGCTTTTGCCTGCACACACACCATACACATAAATACATTCAAGAATACACACATACATGTAAAATAAATCTCTAATAAAATAAAACGGCCACCATTTGGAAAAAAAGAGATCCTGGATATGTGTGTGTGTGTGTGTGTGTGTGTGTGTGTGTGTGTGCTGATTTCTTTTAGTCACATGACAGTACAGAAACTAAGTGGACTATTGAAGCAAAGAGCTGAAAAGAATTCCTTAACCAGTTTCTACACAGGGTCCACCAAGTCATGGAGGATAGAAAGGGCTTCCTGAGATTAGATGAGCCAGGTTTATAATAAGAAAGAAATGTGAACCGCAAAGTTCTGTTGTGTTTCTTTGTTGGAACATTGCTTTCCCAGTCCAGAAGAACATGAAATGAAATGGAAATCCAAAACACACCAGTAAACAGGAGGTAGCTGCCCTGGTCCTCTTTAATATTAGTGTTCTGAAGGAAAGATTCTACCAGCAACTTCCTAACTCCAAATTATGTGCCAGGCAACAAAGGATCAGCCCGTGTTCCATACCTGCAGGTGGGTGGGCTGTGGACACTGCCCGTCCGGTGGCTTCCTGGGCACTGCTTTTGCCTTCTGTTGAAAGGAGAAGTTTATTGTTTTCCTCTTCCTTCTCTGCCATCAGAGCATTATGAATCTTACGTTCTACATGATGACTAAGGGGGGAATGGTGACTCAGGTATAAATATCACACTGACCATTAGGTTCAGAGAACTGCAAACACCACCCAAAACTGAATTCACTGGTTTGACAGTTTGTTACTTGCTAAGTATCTAGGCACAGTTTCCAACTCAGCGAAGTGAGATTTTTACTCCCACTCCCCCACCCCCCAATTTGGGTGACTCTGTCCCATTGTTGACTTCTTAACTACAAGGTTTCCCATCAGGGTCAAAAAGGCTGGGCTAAAGAAAGCCGGAAACGGTTTTGAGGGGCATGTGGAAGTGTTTGTACACAGCTGAGAGTAATGGAATTGTACCTACTGGTCACCGCGAAGGAAGCAGGCCATCTGGAGAGTGTCTGAGACTGGATGCCATTGGCATCTATTGAGGAATAGTTCTCTCGACCAGGAAGGCTATAGACACGCACAGGTCCCCCTGAGGGGTCAATCACTCCCCTGCAATGCAAGACTTACAGCTGAGACACTATCCAACTGTCTTGTGCTATCTTTTGCTCTGACTGGTCCAAGACGATAGTGAGTGGAAAAGATGCCTAAGGGTGCTTCTGCTGGCCTTTTAAGACTCACTCACACAGTAACAAAGATATCTGGACAAATGACTTTGTGCTGTCACACTTTCTAAAGTGATGCTAAGGACACACCAATGCCCTGTTTCTTAATTTCAGGCATTCAGAATTAATATAAAAAAAAAAGGTTCCAGTTTTCTTAAAGGAATTAACTGCATGTACCCTTGAATTGTATTTAAAAAAAAAATCACACTTGCTCTTTTACTGTAGGATGAGTGGCATTGACTTACTATAGTGACAAATCAGCAAGATATTTGACAGCCTGAGTTCAGTCTCATGTGAAAAAGACCAAAGCTGTGTACAACACACTGAGGATGTTTAGAGTCATAGGGATGTAGCCACCAGGCACTTACGCAGGACTGGAGAAATAGCTCAGTGTTTAAGAGCACTTGCTGCTCTTCAGAAGCCCCAAGTGCAGTTCCTAGCACCATAAGGTGGCTCACAACCATGTGTAACTCCAGCTCCAAGGGATCCAACACCCTCACCTGTTCTCCATGGGCACCCAAACAGTTATAACACACACACACACACACACACACACACACACACACACACACACACACTCATAATATTTTTAAAAATATTAATGCAATCTGCTCATTGTCAGAAAGCTTCCCTTGTACACTTGACGATACAAGCTTAAAAATATACCCACATTCTATGGCCAAAATTGGCACTGCAAAGAAGCAAGCAGATAGGAAAGGGGTCCAAAAAGCTAGATGGGGAAGGACCTAACTATGCTCATGCCCTGCCCACCGGCACGGCCCTCCCCACATGTTCCACCTTACCTGTGGACAGCAGCCCCACATATGCTGGATACTGAAGCATACACTATGTTCCCAAACACAGAGAAATCCTCAAGAGAGCAGCCTCCTGGGCAGAGAACATCTGCTTTCTCTTTTCGGATATCCAGGCCCCTGGTAAAGCAGGTGATGGCGATGGGAACTGAAGAGAAATGCATTGCTAAGTAAGGGCTCCAAAGGCTCTTTTGAGGGGTGTTGCAAGAAAAGTGGGATGTGGGATTATTTTTACTTCCCTAATTCCTATATTTCTGCCAAAATACTGACTTAAATGTTGACTCTGTTTTAGATGTTAGCAGATCAAAGGGGATTTTCAAATTAATCTAGGGCCAGGTTACTATAGAAGTCTAATGTGACAATATTTCCAGTTCTTAGTCAATTTGGAAAATGTAAAAAGTACATCAGAATGAGAATACAATGTTAATCTTTGACCTAGTCCTTATTCTAGAAGTACAAAATCCTCAATTGTGATGAGACTGTTGACAGTTGTTTATGATGACAGTAAATCTGGATTGAGCCTTGGTGGGATGTCTTCATAGACAGAGCAAAAGTCTTGAAGCTAGCTACCCTTTCCAGGGGACTGTTTAGCCTCGTTACCTGATAGAAAGCAAACCAGTTAACTGGTGCCTGGATCCACAGAATGTTATTTAGTAGCACATGTTACAAATGAGGAAATGAAAGCTATAGAGTTAATTAGCCTAAGGAGGACTCCACAGCTCCCAAAGGATAGACATGTTAGGCCAGTACTTGAATCTGATTGTATCTCCTCCAGATCTGTCCAAAGGGATACAGGAGGCAGCAAATACTTCAGAAAGTGCTGCTAACATGCACGTTTTAAAATCAGTCTGCTCCCCATTACCCCCAGAAAGGAGCTTTGGTCCCTGAGTGGCTCTCCCAGTCATTCCAGCACTCGGAAAGCGGAGGCAGGAAGATTGCCTTGACTTTGAGGCTAGAGTGAGTTCCAGCCCAGCCTGAGTTACAATGACACTGCCTCAAGCAAATTTACTATGAAAGGTGTTAATTTGTCAAATAACAACAACCCCCGAAATGTTAACATGTCAATTTACTGTTGATTAAATCGAGATTAAGGTTATTAAGTACGATTTCCCAAAGGGGGAGGAGGGCGGGGGGGCGGGGGAGGCAACATCTCCCTCACAGGACAAGATGCGATAGTTTTGCAAGTTGAGTCACTTGCCTTGAGTGCTGCTACCTGGACCACGGAAGAAAGGGGAAGACGCCAGGTGTAATACCAATTCCTCAGCTTAGTTAAAATCCTAACTCCAAATAGAATTCCAGCGACCTGAGGGAGGGGGTCAGTGGCAACACTGGAATCTTGGACCTACTCTGTCTGGAGATGCTGACACTGACTTCTTTGGGTAAAAGGTGAACACAGCAGCCAGGTGCGGTACTTACCATTTCTACTTTCAAGCAACGACAGATTTTTTTTTTTTTTTTAAAGGAAACTATCCCTTACATCGCAGAAAAGACACCGAACCACACACCGGTTCTCGGACTTCTACACGTGGTGCAAACTCTTTTGAGGGTTCCAGTGCGCGATAAGAACCGCCGACGGTGCAAACGCACAGCAAGGTGATCGGACTAGATGGGAGAGGGACGAGAGCCGCCCCATCTGTGGGCTGGGACCAAAGGGTTTTCCCCAGCCCAGTAACCCTAGTGGTCCCGGAGCTAGGTGGCGTGCCCCCGGGAAGGAGACCAGGTCAGACCCCGGGGACTCTGGAGCTAGGTGGCGTGCCCCCGGGAAGGAGACCGGGTCAGACCCCGGGGACTCTGGAGCTAGGTGGCGTGCCCCCGGGAAGGAGACCAGGTCAGACCCCGGGGACTCTGGAGCTAGGTGGCGTGCCCCCGGGAAGGAGACCG